CCATCTTCAAGGCACCGATTGAGGCACTTGAACAGAGAAAAATTGGGATGAGGTGAAGGGTATGCACAGCACGGGTCAAGACGGAGTCTGGTTGGTCATCATCTTGGCTCAGGTTCTACAAAATGGACTAGAGAAGTCTTTGTTGCCCTAGGGCAGTGGTTCTCAACCTTCCTAATGCCTTGGTCATTTAACACAATTCCTCATGTTGTGAGAATGCCCCAACCACACAACTAATTTTATTGCTACTTCATAACTGTAATTCTGCTACCATTGTGTATTGTGATGTAAATAATTTGGGGAGATAGAAGTTTGCTGAAGGGGTCACAACCCACAGGTTGAGAACCTCTAAGAGCTACAGTGACTCTCTGGAGGTGATCATTTCTGCTCCAGGGCCCAGCCTTGCCATCATAGACTGTGTACATTTGGGTGGCATCTGGCCCCTCAGGCTCCTGTTGTATTGATTTTTTTTGCTCCCTATGTATTGATCAGATCTCAAGTAAGAGCACAGGTCAGAGCCTGGGATGAATGCTCAAGGAGCACGTGTTCAAGTTCAAATACCCCCATTGTTGGGCTGATGAGATGGCTCAGCAGGTAAAGGTGCTTGCAGCCAAACTTGATGGCCTGAGAGATCCATTCCTGGCATCCACAAGGTGGAGGGAGAGAGTGGCTCCTGCCAATACACTGTGCTTGCTACTCATCTCATTACTATAAACAAACGAACAAACAAATAAATAAGAGGGAAAAGGACATATCCAGATTTTTCTGACCAAGGACAATAAATTGTACCAAGGACACGTGATTAGAAATAGTTTATTTAGAAAAGGAGCCAGGTGTGGTAGCACACTGCCAATCAGTGTTGGCGAGTGCCTGTAATCCCAGCACTCAGGAGGCAGAGACAGGTGGATCTCTATGAGTTCGAGGCCAGCCTGATCTTCTACAGAGTGAGTTCCAGGATAGACAGGGCTACATAGTGAGACCCTGTCTCAAAAAACTGAAGAGAGAGAGAGAGAGAGAGAGAGAGAGAGAGAGAGAGAGAGAGAGAGAGAGAGAGAGAGAGAGAAGCACCCTGAGAATGAGAGTGAGCTAAGCAAAAAGCCACACAAACCCTGGGTCCCAGGCCCATTATAGGATTGCTTACACAGCATTGCCATTTTTATTATTTTACATATACAATGGGCTTTTCTCATGCATGTTCTGTTAGATGAAGCTAAGGTGGGGAAGGCTCGCCAGTCTTTCTTTGGCAACTGGCTTCCTTAATGTTAATCGTAATTCTTTCCTTTTTTTATTTGTTTGTTTGCTTTTTGTTTTTTTCAAGACAGGGTTTCTCTGTGTAGTCCTGGCTACCCTGGGATTTGCGCTGTAGACCAGGATGCCCGCAAACTCAATGAGATCTGCCTGTCTCTGCCTCCTGAATGCTGGAATTAAAGGCATGCACCACCAACACTTGCAGGGAGAGCATCTTTGAAAGTGGAGGTAAAGGGTAAGGCAGGCCCCAGCCTTCACGCCCTTTGCTGGTCAGTCAGCCAGCTACTCATGGGCCTAAAGGAAGGGGCTGGGAGAAGGGACAGGAGGTTATGCCCCATCCTGTGTCCTCCAAAGGCTGGGATGATGTGGATAGTTGGCCAGGCTGGAAGATACAAAGGAGAATGCAGAGAATAGCTGATGCAAAGGTCCAGGGGCACAACTGGGGTCAGAGTCTGGGCTGGAAAGGAGGGACCATCCTGGAAAGAGAGGAAGCCAGAGCCACAGGGGAAAGGCACCAGGCACCTTTACATGTGCGTGTGCGTGTGCACACACTTGCAAGCCCATGTGTGCATGTGTGCACAATAGATACTTCTAGAGTCCTGTGGCCCCTGGACAGGAGAAGACTCTGGCTTGTTCAAGGCTTAATGACTTCCTCCAGGAACATATTCAGCTTATTCACTCTTTCATTCACAAACATTTTCAGAGTTCAGTGGGGTTAGGCTGCAGCTGGGGTTAGATTTGGTCTCTGACCTGTAGACAAGATCAGCGTTTGGAGAAAACCTAGGCTGCAGGAGCTGGATGGAGACCAGGGAAGGCTTTCTGGATGAGGTGTCATCCTGCCAAGAAACCAAGTTGCTCAGCTGACCTGGCTGCAGTGCTGGACCAGTGCTATACACTGAGGACAGCAGGAACCATAGCAGATGTGATAGCAAGGGCATGCAGCAGGGTGCTCTGGGACCCCTGCACTCCTTCTTATGGAGAAACTCAGGGGCCTCCCTCCCTTGTATCAGGATTACCTTCCTGTAATCCCATGCACAGCTGCCTTTAACTGAGGACCAGGGTGGAGGCGTGTGCGTGTGCATGGATGTGTTTGTGCATGGGGGGTGCATGCATATGGATGTTTTTACACTGCTGAGTGTACTCACACAGGTTCTCTGAGCAAAGGTGTGTGTGAGTGTGCACACAGGTATGTGTATCGGGTCTGGATTTCTTCGCTAGGCCCCTGTCTCACTTCTGAGCAACTGTGAGCATGTCACCTAACCTCTCTTGCTAAGTCTATAGGGACCCCGTGGACCTGTGCAGGCTGTCTCACTGTGAGCCTGTCCCCAGGCTTCCCCCCTTGTCAGACACAAGCCTGGCACCTTTTACTGCTTTTGCACCCTTGAACTGATGAAGAGGCAGTGTTTTACACTGTGGGGAAACTGAGGCTCAGAGACATTAAGCAAGCAGCCAGCTCAGGACTTGAGGTGAGGACCTGGGACTTTGAGCAGGCACCCACCTTGGGGACACTCAGAGTCCCAGGACTCTGAGAGAGTCACATACCCGGTCCCCATAGGAGCTGGCTCCTTCCACACTCTACCAAAGCCAAAGCCTGCCCAAAAAAGACACATTGCAGGCAGCCCCCTGCCCCTTGTGACTGACACAAAGGCCAGAACTCCTAAGAGGAGACAGGAAGGGGCCCCAGGCCAGCTGGGCCAGGACACAGCTAGGGAAATGAGCAGAGACAGGAAACTACACAGCTGGAGTCTGGGCCGCCATTGTCCACCTGGGGGTTGGCGCCAGCAGCCCTCTAAACCTGCCCAGCTATGGACCAGGTGCCTCCCTGACCCCTGCTGGATTCCTGCTCCTAACCTCAGTTTCCCCACTTAGAGGGCACTTGAGTGCAGCTGTCCCCTCTCAGCACATCTCTTGAACTGACTGGGTGAGGCTTCACGGCACCCTGTGGATCTTGGGCTCTGCCACCTTCCTGTGACAGAGGTCTGGAGTTTCCTGTAGAGTGAAACAAGGCTCAGACTCAGCCTGGGCTACCATTCCAAACTCTAGGGCTTCACTCTCTGCTCCTGCAGAGGTCATCACTGACCAACTGCTTTCTGCACATAACTCACCTGAAAAGGTTACAGTCCCACCCAGGGTCTTCTGGTGCTGTGATTAGGCCCTGGGACAGAGCTGGGCTCAGTAGGTTCCCAGGTAGAAATGAAGTGTAGACAGATGGGTAGGTAGGTAGACAGACAGTCAGACAGGTCAATAGACAAGCATAATATAGACTATAGCTCGCCAGGCAGTGGTGGCGCACACCTTTAATCCCAGCACTCGGGGAAGCAGAGACAGACAGATCTCTGAGCTTAAGATCAGCCTGGTCTGCACAGGGAAACCCTGGCTCAAAACACCAACTCCACACTACACCCCAAAAAGTAGAATGTAGATGGGAGATGACAGATATAGATAATAAATATAGATGATAAATAATAGGTGATAAAAACATGATAAAATGATAGATGATAAATTATAGACAGCTAACAAGATTTACAAATGATAGATGATACATAGAAAAATGATAGATAGATAGATAGATAGATAGATAGATAGATAGAAATAATAACAGATACTTAGAACAAAGAAAGAATAGATTGGGAGGTGACTTAGTGGTTAAGAGCACTTACTCTGCAAGTGTGAAGACCTAAGTTCAAATCCCAGCGCTGATGTAAAAAGTTGGCCATGACTGTTCATGCCTGTAACCCCAGCACTACAGGACAGAGATGGATGGACCCCCAGAGCTCTCAAGCCGGCAGCCTAGTCAAACAGCTAGCTTCCAGTTCTTTGAGAGACCCTTTCTCAGAGCAATGAGGCAGAGCTGGTAGAGGTAGACACCGGTCCTGCTCTGACCTCCTCATACACATAGGTGTGTGCACCTACACATGTGACACACACACACACACATACACATATATATATGTATGTATAACTATATGTATAATAGATAATTGGGTAGCTAGATGATAATTAGATAGGTAAGAGATGAGTGGATGATCAATGTCATTCTAGCATCTTAAAGCTAATACACATGTGGAAGCTATCAGTACTCTTGTCATAGTGAGCCCCTGAGTCCCCTTGCCTGCCCCTGGGAGCTCTTGGGCTGTGGTTGGAAGGCTTGACCTTTCTCAGGAAGGCGTGGGCTTTCCTCCGGGGTAGCCTGGGAGGAGGATTTGTGGAAGGTATAGAGCCAGGAGGCTGAGGCTGAGCCTGGTTCCTGTCTGTGGCCCTCAGGGTCCTCCCTCCCTCCTACCCTCCCACTATGCTGTGCCTGGCTGTCACACACTCACAGAAGGCGACAGGGACAGGAGCACGTCTCCCTTCCAGGTGGGATGAGCGGAAACAGGAAGGACTCCAAAGGGAAGCAGGGGGAGGAGGAAGCTTCCAGGAAGCCTGGGGACCTCTGAAGTTGTGTCTTAGACTGGGCCAGACAGAGCCCTGTGCCAACCCTCCCAACTTGGGCTCAAGACCCCATAAAGAGTCTCCATTTACTCTGGGACCGAACCTGGAGGGACCCAGTGACCATGTTCCACCCCATGACAGAGTGTTATGTGAGTGTCAGAGGTTGTCTTTTGAAGTCCAGCCCCAGACTCCAGGGTCTTAGGGACAAGGGGAGGGACTGAGCAGTGCCTGAGGGGGCACCGGGTTCCCCATTGCCCTGGCAAGCACACCTGTGACTGTCCCATTCCCACACCATGTCCCCACCTCCACAGCAGCCAATACTGTAACCTGCTCATATTTTATTGAAGGTAAAGCTGGGAGCTCACACCGAACCTCAGCTCCCCTGCAGTCACAGCGTATGGCTCCCAGTGGCAGAGGACGCAGGATAACCAAGGCTGGCTCTTGGAGACTGTGTAGTCCACTCAGTAGCCCCCATCCCTGCAAGAATCCAAGGTTCTGATCTCAACTCTGCTCTCTCTGACCAGATGGGGATGACGGGAGGGGGTGGGGGTGAGAGTCGGGGGACAGATATGCAAGGCCAAGAGAGGGTGGCATAGTGCGGTCCCCCAGGGTGCGGATGAACAGGGTGGAACCTTACCCCCAGCTCAGGCTCCGCTTGGCCAGTTCCACCTGGGCCAGCCGATGGTCACTGAGTACCCGCACTCTGGTGATGGTGGCCAGTGGTCGGTGACGATGTGGGAACTGCAGTACCTTGTGTTCCTGCGCGTAAATGTGGAAGTGTTCTGCATCCGCGTTCACCTCCATCTGCGGGGGAGGGAGAGCAGGGCTAACCCTGGGTCCCAGCCACAGAGGCCAGCCTGGCTACTTGGCAAAGCAGAGTATGGCCTACCTGACCCTGAGTTCCCAGCTGGGGGCCCCTCTTTTCTCCAGGGCAGGGAGATTGACAGCCAGAGAGAGAAGTATCCCAGTGAACAAATATGGAAACCGAGGAAAGGGAGGCCACGCAGGCCCAGCAGGGAGGCCATTGCACCAACCCATGAAAATATCCATACTAGTCTCTTCTCCGTTGGCCCTGGTACCCCATCCCTACCTCTCCTTCCTCCCGCAGGCCCCATCACCTCAAACGGCTCTCCTGGGGTCAGTGGGAACACGCTGGACACCTCCTCCTGTCCCCAGCATCCTCCCTGGAAGGTGTTGCCCACCACCGTGGCGCTGGAGAATCGGGGTTTGACATGGAAGGCGATGTCTCCCACGTCAGTTAAGAAGTTGATTTCAAACCTGTGGGTGAAGAGAGTGCTCAGGGTCCGGAGTGTGGCTGGAGGGTCCCTACCATGGCCCCAGGAAGGGAAGGAGGTTCTTACTTGTCCTCTCCAGCATCTGCCTGTCCCTGTACTGTCAGGCTCCAGCCTGGGGCCAGGCCCCCTGCACAGAAGGCTTCGAACTGAAGGTAAAACACAGGGAACAGAGCCTCATGGCTGCAGCCTCCTACCTCCGCTCCAAGTGTACTATTGATTCAGGGGTCCGCATTCCCACCCAGCCCAATGCCTCCACCTCAGTGTTGCCCTGGGTGGGGTGGTCCAGAAACCTTATCCCCACAGCCCCTCTGCCTGGGGTCTGAAGAAAAAACACAGATTTCCCCAGCTCTATAGTGGCAAGTAGGTGGCCTGCTGGATGCCACCACCCTTCTCCCTGCGAATATGCAACCACCCATGGTAGAGGCTCTTACCCACCTGCAACGCCATTGCCCTGAACCACTGGAGAGGATCGGGCAGCTAGGGATATAGCAGAGCCGCTGGGGCGTGGCACAGGAGCCCCACCTCCGGGGGCTTTGTCTGGGTCACGTGGACCTCTGTGCCCCATTTTTCCCTCCCCGCTCAGGCTACCCCTACTAGAGAGGGGGACTTGGAAATGGCTCAGTGGCAGAGCTCTTGCCCTGGGTTCGTTCTCAGCAGGGTCACTGGTCCTCTCAACACCTTTCCTCAGGTCTGTCTGGCTCTGCCACCATGACTTGACATGTCAGGTCTTACACACGTCTGAGGACAGATTTCCCAGCTTTGTAAGAAGGGTATGACCAGGGTCCGCCCCCCCATACACCAGAGCCCCAAACTGGCCCACCTGTCTCACAAGGCGTGGAAGGCATGCCCTCCTATGGAACCCTGGCTGACCTTATGGTGTCTGTCTGACCATCCATCCGCTGCCCACCATGCTGGGAGTGTGGTGTGTCGCTCCCCCCCTCCCCCCCTGCTTGGGGCTGCCCTGTGCAATGGCTCAGTGGCCTCAAGGGGATGAATGGGGGATTAGGTTGGGCTCTGCTCAGCACATTCCAGTCCCCAGTCTACAGATGGGGAGGTCCTTTCCCACACCCCCACGCCCCTCCTGGCCGGCTGCCTCTTAGGCTGAGCCAATAAGAGGGGTCCACTGGGGCCCTTGAGGCCACCTCAAGGACAGAGGAGAGAAGCCCAAGTCTGTGGGGGCGGCTGTGGGGGCCTCTGGGACTCTCCAAGGAGGGAAGTTGGGCCAGAGTGCAGCTAGGCTTGGGACTGCTGCCTACAGACGAGCGTATCCCCTTCCTTCTGTCCTCTCCGGTCATCTCTACCACCATTCTCCTCTCCAGGCCTGGCAGGCTTGAACCTCTGGCCTGCTTTGCCTATTTCAAGGTGGCGCTGCATGCACACAGTCTGGCGGGGAGTGGTGGGTACCAAGGTCAGGCGGGACACAGAGATACCTCTCCAGCATGGCAGTACAGTGAGCACCTAGTATTTCTCTGTGGCAGGGAAGGACAGGCCTGGTTGTGCCTGCAGGGGGCAGCCAAGGGCAACAGAGGCTCCATGGGGGTGAGCCTGCTGGCCTGCCCTGTCACCCCCCCCTACCACTTTCCCCCCACCCCTCACCCCTGTCTAGCTGTGGGTGCAGGGTCTGCAGACCCCACACATTCCCCTCCCCAGAGAAACATGGAGAAGCTCCTTTTTGGTACTTACAATCAGTACAATTTAGTACAGTCAATAAAGTGCTTGCTATGCAGGCATGAGGACCTGACTTTGATGCCTAGCACCCCAGCAAAACACTGAACACAGTGAATGGCCTGTGCTAGTAATCTCAATGCCAGAGAGATAGAGACAAGAGGATTCTGGAATTCTCTAGCCAGCTAGGATACCCAAATCTGCAAGCCCCACTAAGAGACTTTCAAAAAAAAAACCACTCAAAACCTCTGAGCCACAGGGCCTAGAGGAGGTTGCAGGCCAGCTCCATGGCTTCCCTGTTTTCCTGTCCCCTGTGTAGGGGTGCTGGGACTAGATGTCCATCTTAAATTCTCCAGGCCTGCACTGCAGTGCTGGTCAGTGCCCAGGGCTCATGGCTAGGGAAGAGCCCACAGCCAGGAGTGTGGAACATTCTGGCGACCTTGAATCAGTGGCCTCTGGGCTTCTCAGCTTTACAACGGGCTTGCCAATGCTGGCCTTACCCACTGTGCGGGTCCACTTGGTGAGGGAAGGCGAATAAAGACAGATGCAGCTGGACAGGGATCAGATCAGTCACCCTGCCTCCATCTTTTCTAGGGTGAGAAGAACACTGCTATGGGCACCTTGTTCTCGGGGTCTGGCTACCTGGAGGCCCTAGTTAGGAACTTGGGGGAGATCTGGGTATGGTGGGAACCCCAGACATGCTGGACAGGAGGCCCAGGTGCTGCTTCCTGGGTCGGGGAGGCCAAAGTACTTGCTTCCAGCTGTCTCATTCCTTTGTGAGCCTCAACCTCTCTTCTGGCTTAAGTAGTTTGTACTGCAGGAGAGCTGGTAGCTGCCCACACCCAGTCTCCACAGCTCTGGAAAACCTGGGAAGTTCAGGCCATTCTGAGGAGATTAGCTGTGCACCCACATCTGGGCTCTGCCCCGTGGTGTCATGCAGGCCTCTGATGGAACCCTCTGATTGGCTGGGACTTGTGTCCAGTAGGGTTGGGGCAGGAGTCTGTGATAGCTCCCGATGACCCAGGCAGTTACAGCCCAGGGGACAGAATGGGCCAAGGAGAGACCTCAGATGCACCTTGGCCTCACACCAACACCATATAGCCCATATCTTTCTCTGGCTGCCTCTGGCCTGGCCTGGTTGGTCTTGTGAGGCCGGATGGTGTGGTGGGCAGTACTCCTATGTGACATTCTGTCCAGTGGAGCCAGCTGCTGAGAATAGCAGGCCTGATATTTAGGTACCACTGTACCTCCTACCTCCGCCTCCACCCGGATGTGTGGTTTTGCCTGGAGCTGTTGACTTTGAAGGTTTAGAAGCAGGAGCAGGTCTTTACCCAGCGTCAGGGAGGAGCTATACCAGGACAGGGGATAAGTAGCCACCTTGGCCAGACCCGGGCTAGTGCATTGTGCCGACTCTCCTCCTCGGCTCTTCCTCTCCTTCTCTCCTCCTTTCCTTCTTCCTCCTCCTCCTCCTCTTTTCATCATACTTTCTTTTTTTCTTCTGTTCATTTGTTTTTAAGAATGTTCCTATGGGTCGGGTGGTGGTGGCACATGCCTTTAATCCCAGCACTTTGGAGGCAGAGGCAGGTGGATCTCTGTGAGTTCGAGACCAGCCTGGTCTACAAGAGCTAGTTCCAGGACAGGCTCCAAAACCACAGAGAAACCCTGTCTCTAAAAACAAAAAGAAAAAAAAAAGAAAGAAAAGAAAAGGCCACTATACATAGCCCAGGCTTGTTCTCTGCAAGGTACCCACTGGGCAGTTTACATGCATTTCTGTGGCTGACAGCCTGTGGGATTGGTTCTAAAATTCATAGTATGGAAGAGGTTCAGAGCTCAGACCCACAGCTAGGGCAACACTGAACCAGGGTTTGTAATCACCAGTGTGTCTGCGTTCCCACCCTAAATATAGTACTGGGCCATCCCCTGGAAGCACAGCTGCTCTTCGGATGGGGGTCTATCAGGGTTGGCTTCCAGGAGGAGGAGACACTAAGGGTGGGTGTTGTAGAATGAACAGGAGTTAGAAGGTGCCCAAATCAACAACAATCTGTGTGCGGTGGCACAGAACTATAGTCTCAGCACGTAGGAGGCTGAGGAAGAAGAATTGAAAGTTGGAGGCTAGCCTGGGCTACAGAGTGACACCCTTTCTCAGAAAGCAACAACCAGAAGAACAGATGTGTGGGACCTTTAATCTCAGCACTAAGGAGGCAAAGACAGGTGGGCCTCTATGAGTTTGAGACCAGCCTGGTCTACATAGGAGTTCCAGTACATCCAGGATCACATAGAGAGACCTTATCTCAAGAGAAAAAGAAAAATAAATAAAAAGAAGGGGGGAATGAAGATATACCTGGCCTAGATGTGAACTGTTAGGAAGACTTCCTGGAAGAGGTGGCATGGCTGACCGCGAGGAAAGTGGGCTATATAGTAGCGTGAGGGTCTCTCGCAATCGGGCCAGCACGTGAAAAGGCCCTGGGGTGGCAGAATGAAGAGGAAACTCCTTTTCCCAGCTACACCTTCAGTTTCTGGGCCAGACTTGCCAATTAATCCATTAACCTTGCAATCATCAAAGAGTGTTCACATCTGTTCATAGCCCTGCTGGAGCAGAGCCTTCCTTTCCTTTCATGGATGGAGAAACAGGCCTCTGCTGGGCTGTGTGGACTGATGCTGTGAACAGCCTCCAGGGGGCAGTATGGAGCCACGTCAAAGGAAGATGCCCAGATACCCAAGTCAGTTATGGTATGAGGTAGGAGAGGATGGTGATGGAGGCAGGGATGGGGGATGCGGGGTGGAGAAGGGATTCCCTCCCAACCATCCAAAGCACAAGAGGCTGGGCTGTGAAAACTAATTCATCCAATGCTAACAGTAAGTGAGCCCAAGGTGCAGCCATCTTTGAAGTGTGACAGAGAGTTGCTCGAGACACAGATACAACAGGAGCAGGCCACTGAAGCCAGCAGGTTAGGCCATGCTCTGCCTGCCCACTAACATCTGACCTGGAGGGATCCAAATATTTACTCCAGATGCATGCTAGGCTCCAGGGACACCGCAGGCTGCCAGGGCTATAAACAGACCTGGGGCCTGCATTGGAGGAAGGAAGAGCTGCAAATACAATCAGACAGCCAAGTGTCTGGGGACCCCTGTCAAGCTGTCCTAAAGATGTAGGTGCAGGAATTCCGAGGGCTGGCCCAGAACCAAGAGGGTCACCAGATGAGAGTATTATTCTAAAGATTTATTTTAGTGTGTGTGTGTGTGTGTGTGTGTGTGTGTGTGTGAGAGAGAGAGAGAGAGAGAGAGAGAGAGAGAGAGAGAGAGAGAGAGAGAGAGAGAGAGAGAGCACACACGCTTTGGGGGTATTTGTAGAGGACAGAAGAGGGTATCAGGTCCCTGGAACTGGATTTACATGTAGCTGTGAGGCATCCCTCATAATGGGCTGGGTGTTGGGGACAAATTCCAGTACAAGAGCAGCACTCTCAGTGACTGAGCCATCTCTCCAACCCAAATTTTATTTTAGTGTGTGTGCATACACGTGTGTGCATGCAGGCACCCACATGCCTGCATGCTGAGGCCAGAGGATGATGTCAGCTGTCCTGTGCTGTTACTGCTGCCTTATTCCTTTGAGACAGGGTCTCTAAGTGACCCTGGAGCTGGGATGGTGGCCCCAAGCCTCAGAAACAAGTGTTACATGTTTTCTTTCAAATGAAACCTCAAGCCGGGCGTTGGTGGCACACGCCTTTAATCTCGGGAGGCAGAGGCAGGCGGATCTCTGTGAGTTCAAGACCAGCCTGGACTACCAAACGAGTTCCAGGACAGCCTCCAAAGCCACAGAGAAACCCTGTCTCGAAAAACC